TTCTGAGAAAAAACAAAACAAATTTTCCAATATTTGAAAATAAATTTTTATTGGTTTTCTTTTGAATTCTTTTTAACATTTTCATATTTACACATCCATCCATCCACCCACCCACACTAACTAACTCAATAAATCGTACGACTACTGACCATTCACCCTGACAATTTGTTTGATGTATTTTCTCCCTTGCCCCTACCTTCTCGTATTGGCATTTGGAGGTGATTTTAGGTTTCTTTTTGTGTTTATTTTTTTCGATTAATTTTCCTAGCTCTTCATTCCGCCACCTCACGTCTCTCGTCACCTTCACACCAATAAATTTACATGAATGAGTCGTTGAAAGTGTCCCTGACAATGAACTTTTAATTAATTTACGGCGAGTTTTTTTTTTTGTTAATTTTCCTCTTTCTATCCCACTTTTCCCTCGTTCTTTTGTCTGTTTTCGTATCGTCACCTAGAAATTCGATTTAAATGTAAATTATACAATTCTTACAAAGATGTCGAAAAACAATTAATTTTGTCTTTTTTTTCTTCTTTGGGGTTTTTTTTTCAATAGCAAGTCCACCCCGACAAACGACAATAACAATAAAAACAATGAGCCATCCAATTAAACGAAAAGTAATTGCAATTTTAATTAACTCAATGAAAAGCGGAAGAAAACCTGTGCAAAGAAAAGTAGCGAAAATAAGTTTTTTGGTTTCATTTCAATGAATTGGTTTCGCAATAAATTTACGTCATAGATAGAGCAAGGTAGAATTTTTATGGGGTTTTGGTAATTTTCTTCTTGAAAAAATATTCTTTAAAAAATCTACGCCTTTAAATAGGCCTTGAAAAAATATTCTTTAAAAAATCTACGCCTTAAAATAGGCCTTGAAAAAATATTCTTTAAAAATCCAGGCTTTAGAATTGGCCGTGAAAAATACTCTTTAAAGATCCACGCCTTAAAATAGGCCTTGAAAAAATATTCTTTAAAAAAATCCACGCCTTAAAATAGGCTTTGAAAAAATATTCTTCAAAAAAATCCACGCCTTAAAATAGGCCTTGAAAAAATATTCTTTAAAAAATCCACGCCTTAAATAGGCATTGAAAAAATATTCTTTAAAAAAAATCCAAGCCTTAAAATAGGCCTTGAAAAAATATTCTTTAAAAAAAATCCAAGCCTTAAAATAGGCCTTGAAAAAATATTCTTTAAAAAAAATCCAAGCCTTAAAATAGGCCTTGAAAAAATATTCTTTAAAAAATCCACGTCTTAAAATAGGCCTTGAAAATTTTTTCTTTAAAAAATCCACGCCTTGAAAAAATATTCTTTAAACAAAATCCAAGCCTTAAAATAGGCCTTGAAAAATATTCTTTAAAAAATCCACGCCTTAAAATAGGCCTTGAAAAATATTCTTTAAAAAATCCACGCCTTAAAATAGGCCTTGAAAAAATATTCTTTAAAAAATCCACGCCTTAAAATAGGCCTTGAAAAATATTCTTTAAAAAATCCACGCCTTAAAATAGGCCTTGAAAAAATATTCTTTAAAAAATCCACGCCTTAAAATAGGCCTTGAAAAAATATTCTTTAAAAAATCCACGCCTTAAACTAGGCCTTGAAAAAATATTTAAAAAATCCACGCCTTAAAATAGGCCTTGAAAAAATATTTAAAAAATCCACGCCTTAAAATAGGCCTTGAAAAAATATTTAAAAAATCCACGCCTTAAATAAGGCCTTGAAAAAATATTCTTTTAAAAATCCACGCCATAAAATAGGCCTTGAAAAAATATTTTTCAAAAAATCCACGCCTTAAAATAGACCTTGAAAAAATATTCTTTAAAAAATCCACGCCTTAAAATAGGCATTGAAAAATATTCTATAAAAAATCAACGCCTTAAAATAGGCCTTGAAAAAATATTCTTTAAAAAAATCCACGCCTTAAAATAGGACTTGAAAAAATATTCTTTTAAAAAATCCATGATTTAACATAGGCCTTGAAAAAATATTCTTTAAAAAATCTACGCTTAAAATAGGCCTTGAAAAAATATTCTTTAAAAAATCCACGCCTAAGATAGGCCTTGAAAAAATATTCTTTAAAAAGTCCACGCCTAAGGTAGGCTTTGAAAAAATATTCTTTGAAAAAATCCCCGACTTAAAATCGGCCTTGAACAAATATTCTTTAAAATATCCACGCCTTAAAATAGGCCTTGAAAAATTTTTCTTTAAAAAATCCACGCCTTAAAATAGGCCTTGAAAATTTTTTCTTTAAAAAATCCACGCCTTGAAAAAATTTTCTTTAAAAAATTCACGCCTTAAAATAGGCCTTGAAAAAATATTCTTTAAAAAATCCACGCCTTAAAATAGGCCTTGAAAAAATATTCTTTAAAAAATCCACGCCTTAAAATAGGCCTTGAAAAAATTTTCTTTAACACTAGAACGCCGAAGGCAGTCATTTTGACCGCTTTCCAATTTCAAGTAAAAAAGCAACTGTGCTTTTAATGACACTTTTTTTTAAAATTTGGTGACTTTTTGTATCTCATAGAATTACGTTTATTATAAAAAAATCACCAAATTTAAAATAAAAGCGTCATTAAATGCACAGTTGCTTTTGTACTTGAAATTGGAAAGCGGTCAAAATGACCGCCTTCGGCGTTCTAGTGTTAAAAAATTCACGCCTTAAAATAGGCCTTGAAAAAATATTCTTTAAAAAATCCACGCCTTAAAATAGGCCTTGAAAAAATATTCTTTAAAAAATCCACGCCTTAAAATAGGCCTTGACAAAATATTCTTTAAAAAAATCCACGCCTTAAGCTAGGCCTTCAAAAATATTTAAAAAATCCACGCCTTAAAATAGGCCTTGAAAAAATATTTAAAAAATCCACGCCTTAAATAAGGCCTTGAAAAAATATTCTTTTAAAAATCCACGCCATAAAATAGGCCTTGAAAAAATATTTTTCAAAAAATCCACGCCTTAAAATAGACCTTGAAAAAATATTCTTTAAAAAATCCACGCCTTAAAATAGGCATTGAAAAATATTCTATAAAAAATCACCGCCTTAAAATAGGCCTTGAAAAAATATTCTTTAAAAAAATCCACGCCTTAAAATAGGACTTGAAAAAATATTCTTTTAAAAAATCCATGCTTTAACATAGGCCTTGAAAAAATATTCTTTTAAAAAATCCATGCCTTAAAATAGGCCTTGAAAAAATATTCTTTAAAAAATCCACGCCTTAAAATAGGCCTTGAAAAAATATTCTTTAAAAAATCCACGCCTTAAAATAGGCCTTGAAAAAATTTTCTTTAACACTAGAACGCCGAAGGCAGTCATTTTGACCGCTTTCCAATTTCAAGTAAAAAAGCAACTGTGCTTTTAATGACACTTTTTTTAAAATTTGGTGACTTTTTGTATCTCATAGAATTACGTTTATTATAAAAAAATCACCAAATTTAAAATAAAAGCGTCATTAAATGCACAGTTGCTTTTGTACTTGAAATTGGAAAGCGGTCAAAATGACCGCCTTCGGCGTTCTAGTGTTAAAAAATTCACGCCTTAAAATAGGCCTTGAAAAAATATTCTTTAAAAAATCCACGCCTTAAAATAGGCCTTGAAAAAATATTCTTTAAAAAATCCACGCCTTAAAATAGGCCTTGACAAAATATTCTTTAAAAAAATCCACGCCTTAAGCTAGGCCTTCAAAAATATTTAAAAAATCCACGCCTTAAAATAGGCCTTGAAAAAATATTTAAAAAATCCACGCCTTAAATAAGGCCTTGAAAAAATATTCTTTTAAAAATCCACGCCATAAAATAGGCCTTGAAAAAATATTTTTCAAAAAATCCACGCCTTAAAATAGACCTTGAAAAAATATTCTTTAAAAAATCCACGCCTTAAAATAGGCATTGAAAAATATTCTATAAAAAATCACCGCCTTAAAATAGGCCTTGAAAAAATATTCTTTAAAAAAATCCACGCCTTAAAATAGGACTTGAAAAAATATTCTTTTAAAAAATCCATGCTTTAACATAGGCCTTGAAAAAATATTCTTTTAAAAAATCCATGCCTTAAAATAGGCCTTGAAAAAATATTCTTTAAAAAATCCATGCCTTAAAATAGGCCTTAAAAATTTTTTCTTTAAAAATCCACGCCTTAAAATAGGTCTTGAAAAAATATTCTTAAAAAAATCGGTCTTGAAAAAATATTCTTTAAAAAATCCACGCCTTAAAAATATGTTCTCTAAAAAAATATACGCCTTTGTTTAGGACCTGAAAATTATTCTTCAAAAATCGAAGCCATAAACAAATATTTTTTCAGTTCTCTCCTCGGTTAGGATTTTATTTCCCTTGCAAATTTTTGAAACATGAAATTCAATAACAAATTTTCAAATAATAAAAAAATTTTACCTCCATACTGAGGAAAATGATTGCGGAATTCTTTTAGGTTTAGGAGGAAATCTAAATCTCTTATTTACCAATTTACGGCGTATAATAATTATTTGACGTTTTTCCAACCATAGACGTAATTTTCGTGAGACCTTCAAGCGAGGCTTCATTGGCACACGGCACTGACCTCCTTTAGGACGCTGCCTGCGAATTTGTTCTTGAGAATTGCCACCCTTCAAAGTATTCACAGAAGAAGAACTTCCCGAATCGGAAATTTGTCGCACATATTGTAGGGTGACTTTTGAATCTGTGGCATTTTGAACCGTTTGAGAAAATTGCGAAGTTGAAATATAACCTCCTTTGATTCTACTTTCAGATCGTTTATTCTTCACATTTAATTTTGTTTTTGAAATTTCTTTATTGGCATTTTTAATTCGAGGCCGTCGTATTCTCAGTGGTGGTGGCCTCTTTGATTTCAATAGAAATTGGCATTTCTTATGGAACAATGGTTGAAAATAAATACGATCTAGTTCTTGCATTATTTTGCGCATGCGACAAAATTTGAACTGAATTAAGAAAACAAATTTCAATATTTTTTATCACTCATTATTTCAGATTTTAGGAAATTGTTTATTTTTGTCCTACCTTCCTTATTTCCATATCCAATTCAGGCGAACAAGGCGGAGCCTTCAGTGGATGACAACACGGGCCCTCTAAGTCGGAGAAATCCTTTAACGATGATGGTCCTTTACCTTCATTATCTGAACTAGAACTGCTGCCCTCATCACTGTTGAGATTTTATTTAAATATTTAATCAAGTATGAGGGTGTTGTTGGGGGTCGTTCTCTTACCTTGAATAATCGGACAGGGGTATATTTATCGGTTCTTCAGCACTCGACCCCTCCTTCAGTAAACGTTCTATGATTTTCAGTCTTAAACTTTCCTGTTGACGTAAGAAAATCAGAATCTGATAATACTGTTAAGCGGTTAGTAGGGGTGACATCAATCAATGGCTTAGGCAGGTGATAAATAAAATAATATATAATTTTTAGAAATTTAAAATAAATTTTCGAAATAAAAAACATGAAGAAGTGTTCGGAAGCTAAATGTGTGCCAATGGTGTTCAAATGTATTTTTTCAATAATCAAAAATGTGGTTTTATGGATATTTTATAAACACACTTCTCATTGAAATTTATTAGAAATTTGAAATTATTGTCCTTCGAATAAATATTGAGGGGTGATATTTTATCGCGATGTCACTCACGTTTATTAATTCATTATGTGTTGTATTGTATTAAAAAATATAAAGAATTAGTAATTATTTGTAGTACTTTTCAAAAATATATTTTTCCAAAATACTGCGAAAAGAATGTTCAATGCAAATATCAAATATTCCATTAATGTCTTTGGAATATTGAGCTGAAAGCAACTATTACGATTTTTTAATAAATCATCTTCTTCGGTCAGAATCGAAGAACCGAATTACAAATTATAAACGGCTCACAATATTACGTGGCTTTATATAGGTCTTGGGACCACATACGAGGGCAGTTCGGAAACTTCTTAGTCTAGAAAAAAAAACGAGTGAAAAAGCGTTAAGTTCGGCCGGGCCGAACTTTGGATACCCTCCACCATTGTTATACTGACAGATACATGCAATGGAAATATAGGGAACATACCAGAAAGTGGGCATATACCGATAATTCTACAAACCGATTTATGTAAACCATTACGTACACCAAATACAAACTTCAGCAATTTTTAATGGGGATTTTTCCTAAAATCTGTAAGATGGTAGAGTATAAAATATAAAAAAAATGGGGAGATTTGTTACCATATACGACTACAAAATACCAAATTTCAGCGAATTCGTTTGAAAAACGCGCTCAAGAACCTCAAAACATTGAAATTTGGGGGTACCCTTATATGGGGGCTACCCGAAAAAATTGATCTATATTTATAATTTTTTGTGGAGAGATTTGCTACCCAATAAGAACCCAAATTACTAAATTGCAGCCAATTCGGCGAAAAAATCCGGTCAAAATCCCCCAAAAAGTGGAATTTGGGAGGTACCCTTATATGGGGACTACCAAATAAATTGAACCTATATTTATAATTTATAGTAGGGAAATTTGGTACCCAATAAGAACCCCCTGTATCAAATTCCAGCGAAATCGGTTGAAAACCGCGCTCAAGAACCCCAAAATACCGAAAATTGGGGGTACCATTATATGGAGGCTACCCGAAAAAAATTACCTATATGTATAATTTTTAGTATAAAGATTTGCTACCCAATAAGAAGTCAAAGTACCGAATTTCAGCGAGTTCGGTCGAAAAATGCGATCAAACCCCCAAAATACCGCAAAATTAGGGCTACCCTTATATGGGGGCTATCCGAAAATATGGTTCTATATTTATAATTTTTAGTGGAGAGATTTGCTACCCAATAAAAATTCAATATACCAAATTTCAGCGAATTCAGTTGAAAAACACGCTCAAGAACCTCAAAATACCGAAAATTGGGGGGTACCCTTATATGGGAGCTATGCCTAAACGTTTACCGATAAAGCCCATCTTGGAACTTGACCTGCCTGCAGACAAAAGATTGATTACAACAGACAGACGGGCATGTCTATATCGTCATAGAATTTTACGCTGATCAAGAATATATATACTTTATACGGTCGGAAATGATAATTTCGATGAGTTACAAACGGAAAACCAAAATGAATATACCCTCCATACTATGGTGGAGGGTATAAAAAAAGTACACAACATAACATAGTGATGGGTAATTTATGTGAAGAACAAGTCTATATATATTACGAAGTAGAAACAATGGATTAAATTGGTTATTCTATTCGCTTCAAATTTAATTTTCAAGCTTTTAAAATGTTGAGGTACAAGAAGGAGATGACAGACGGGCTCATCTTCAAACGTGATCTATATAAGGTGAACATATTACGATGTTCAAAAGTGTCGGTGAAATTGAATATATGCTCGCTTTACATGATGTTTAAAAGTTTTCAAAATTTTGTCTCTTTGTAGGGGGAGGTATTAGAATAATCTCTAAAAAATATACAGGTGTGGTTAAACATTACTTTGTGCAAAGTTTAGTTCAAATGGAAAGAGTAGACCGATGGGTCCCATCTTCAAACTTGATTGGAGTTTGTAAAAAATTTAACGATGTGGATATTTTGTATCAAACCGGACGTTCTATACGATTGTTATTGGATTAACAAATTTTCAAAACGTTGACTCTTTGGGGAAGGTACCAAAAGGAGTCTCATTTTTGGACAAAATTTGGATATTCCGTTCGATTTACCGATTTACAAGTTTCAAAATTTCGATCCTTTATGAGGGAGGTACTAGAAGGAGTGGACGAATTGTACAACGATTGTTCGACATTCCATTTACCTAATATTGGATTTATAAATATTGAAAATGTTGATCCTTTGAGGGAAATGTGCCACAAGGAGTGGACCAGGGGGCCCGGTTGTGGTTTGGTACTATTTGCATTTAGTTGAGTGTAAAGAGATGGAGTCCTGAAAATAGGAATTAGGTCTACTATTGGTGTACTACTACGTAGTAATGGCACTAAATTTGGTGCAAGTTGAATTTAGGTGAACGGATATAGCTGGAGTCTTCAAATTGGGAATTAAAATGAGTGTTGGTGTGTAGGATTGAGGTAGTTTAGAAATTCGTACTTATTGTTACAAAAAATACTATGTGTACTGAATTTAGTAAAATTTGGATTTTGATTAAATGATAGATCTGAAAACCTGAAATTTGGAATTAAAATTACTGTTGAAGATTGAGCTATAGAGACATCTATGGAAATTCGTATTTATGTGTACGAAAAGTACTAAACGGCACAAGATTTGGTACAATTATAAATTGGGTGAACGGAGAGAGCTGGAAACCTAAATTTTGGAATAATAGATATGGAATATCTAGCCATATCTAGCTACAGAGTACTTATGTGTACCAAACGGTACAAAATTTGGTACAATTTGATTATGTGTGAACGGATAGAGCTGGACTCCAGAATTTTGGAATTAACATTTCTGTTGAGTGTAGTTTAGAAAATTCTTAATAACAGAAACAAAAAGTACTAATTGGTACCAAAGAGTTTACAAATAGTTTTTGCGTAAACGTATAGGGCTGATATTCTGAAATTTTGAATTATTATTGCAGGATTGTGATATGTTGGTAGTTTTGAAAATTCGTCCTTATGTGTGCTAAATGGTATTAAATTTGGTACAATTTAGATTTCAGTAAAGGATAGAGATGGAAAACCTATATTTGAAAAATAAATTATTGTTAGAGTACAGTATTGAGACAGTGTTGGAAATTCGAACTCATAAGTACGAAAAGTACTAAATGATACTAAACCCTAAAACCTAAAACCCGTACTTATATCTACGAAAAGTAATAAATTGTGCCATATTCGATGCAATTTGGATGTCAGTGAACGCATAGAGCTGGGATTCTTTAAATGGAGTTAAGGTTATTATTGGAGTGCATGATTGATGTAGTTTTTGGTACGAAAAGCACAAAATTTCGTAAAATTTGTACTTTGGTGAACGGATAAAACTCGAATCCTGAAAGTTACAACTTATGTGCATAAAAATACCAAATGATAATAAACATGATATTAGATGTAAGAATAGAGGCGGAATTCAGAACTACAAGTACAACAAATTATACAGTATTCACGACTTCCATATGAAATATTATTTTTTTATTTCCTTTCCGCATTTTGCCAGTTTAATATATTTAACATACTACTATTTTATAGACCGTTTTAAGTAAAACAATTAAAACAATTTTCTCAAATATTGTAAAGAAATTTCGAAACAAATCTATATTAGTAAAATAACCAGATTTTCCGTAGGGATTTTTACCCTAATTACCCGGCTATTTGACAGAAAGTTCGGGTACAGGTATCACGATATTCCCGGCTATTTATAACCGATTAGTATAAATTGGGTAGCATTTTAATTCTTATAAAAATTTCAATTCATGATGTGGTGTTCGGTTCCGTAGAATCTGGTATAAAATGCAATAACCGTGTAGCCGGGTACGTCTCCGAAAAAATATCCATAATTAAGATCAAAATGACTACCGCGGACAAAAATTTCAAAAAAAACTTAATCGTTTTTACTAAACGTAGACTTAAATTTTTTTGAGTTATCGTGTCCGCCATAAAAACACTTATTCGAGAAAAATGCGTTTAAATTTTCTAAAACACTCTTGCTGTCGCCTGATACTGACACAATAAATCGGCTATAACTTCAAGAGTGGTTAAGATTTTTATTTGAAATTTTAAAGGGACATCCTGGAATTCGTGTAGGTTCGTATTAATTAGAAGACCAAAATTCAATTTTTTGAAACCGAAAAGTAAAATTATCTTAATTTTAGTAAATAAATACAGTTCAAATCCTATATTACCTTCTTCATCGATGTTGTTTGTGTTCCCTGCGAAATATTTATTGCTGTAATATTTGTTTGACTACTTTTGTTGCATTTATTGTTTATACAAAATAATAAAACTACAGTGGTTTTTGCGTGTTAATTACCATACATTTTTTCTTCGTGGGTATTGGTGTAAAAGCTTTATTGTAGTTTTTATTTAATAAAATATAAATTAAAACTAATAAAAAATATATTTTAAGATAGAGATAGTGAATAGAAATTAAAGTACTTAATAAAATAATACATAGAAGAGGAGTTGAGATGAAATTTTCTACAACAACTAAAAACACAAGAAACTACAGAATTTGTTTGAGGTGACTGATGAATGGATTTGTTTGGGTGCTGGCGGTGATAGATGAGGACTGACTAGTAGTTATGTTGATGGTGGATTGATTTGGTTGGCTTTAGCATTAAGGAAAAAAACTCTCAACTAGAGTTTTCAAACTAATTAACTAACACAAGC